ATATTATGTATGTCTATGTATTAGATATATTACCTAAATATATAAATACAATGTGCTATATTTATACATATATCCATCCATATATATATATACCCATCCCTATAACAAGCACTGAAAATTTAAAGATGCACAACCAATAAGCCAATAAAAAGTGCTCAGTTAAACAAAAAGAACATAGTAAAGAGGGAAAAAGAAATAAGAAACAGATCAAATAGAAAGCCAGAAAGATGGTAGATTTAAATCCAACCATGTTGATAATTACACTAAATGTACTTGATCTAAAATACTGCAAATAAAAGGCAAAGATTTGCAGATTAGGAAAAAAAGCAAGACCCCACTATATGCTGTCTATAAAAAAAGAAACAAAAAATCCAAAAACAAAACAACTCTACCTTAAGTATAAAGACACAGATAGGTTAAAAGTAAAAAGATGGAAAAAGAAATACTCCCACCAATCAAAGAAAGCTAGAGTGGCTATATCACACAAAGTAGAGTTCATGACAAAGAACCATTTATCAGAGATGAAGAACATTTCATAATGATGAAAAAGATCAGTCCATTGGGACTTAACAATCTTAAATGTGTATGTACCTAACAATAACGCTTCAAATTTCATAAAGTAAAGCTGACAGAACAAAAGGAGAAATAGGCCAATCCACAATTCTAGATTTCAATACTCCTCTCACTGACACGAGACAGAGAATCAGTGAGGATACAGAAGACCTAACATTAATAAGCAACTGGGACTGACGTGTAGAACACTTTACCAACAACCGCACTTTTCCAGCACTCACAAAAACATTCAAGAGAGGCCATTAGCTGAGCCGTAAGAAGAGTTTCGGGAAGTTTTAAAAGATTTCAGTTATACAAAGCATGATTTCTGGCCAAAATAGGCCTGCACTAGAAATTAGTAACAGAAACTTATGTGGAAAATCCCCAAATATTTGGAAATTAAACACCTTTCACTGAAACATGACATGCTTTAGCTTTTAAAAGGATCACTCACCCTGTTATACAGAGAACAGACAAGAGAAAGGCAAGGACAAAAGCAGCAAGACTCTCCAGGAGGCATTTACAGTTGTCCAGTTGTGATGATGGTGTCATTGACTAGAGTGTTAGCAGGGAAAGCAGTAAGAACAGGCCAGTTTTTGAATGTTGCCTAAGATTTGCTGATGGCTTGGCTACTGGAATGACAGAGGGAAGGATACCCAGATTCTTGACTTGGGCAAAAGGTTTAGAGCCACCATTTGTGAGATGGGAAGCATTAGGAAGGTAAGGATTTGAAGGGAAGGTTTAAGTTTTGAGCATGTAAAAACTCAGAGGCTTATTAGACACGTCCATGTAGAGAAGTCAAATAGGTTGATGGAATCTGGTGTTCTGGGGAGGTGGGCTAAATATATTTTTGGGTTCTATCAGCATGTAAATGTTAGACTGAATGGGATGACTGAGAGACAAAGTGCAGAGAAGGATCCAGAAATGAACCTCGGGGTACTCCAAATTCAGAGGTTGGGCGAGGAGCCAGTGGGATGAAAAGCAGCGAGGTGGAAAGTGGGGCCCAGAACAATGGGAGGTTTATGAGGAAGGGTGACCAATTCATCAAACGCTACCATGGGTTAGAAGCTGACCGCTGGGGTTAGTGGTCACCAGCAGCTAAGGCTGCGGCAGGGAGCTGACAGGAAGGGAGGAAGTGCAAACAGGTACAGATTTCTTTTTGGATTTCTGGTAATGGTTGCACAACTCTGAGAATACAGTGAAAAGCACTGAACTGTACAACTGGAAATTGTATGCTATGTGGATTATATGTCAAAACTGGTTTTAAAGATTATTTGAGAGAATGAGAGAGCATGAGAAGGGGGAGGGTCAGAGGGAAAAGCAGACTCCCCGCTGGGCAGGGAGCCCGATGCGGGAGAGACTCCAGGATCATGACCCGAGCCCAAGGCAGTCGTTTAACCAACTGAGCCACCCAGGCGCCCACAAAGCTGGTTTTAAAAACTGACCACCGGTTTTAACACATGGAGGCCACTGCCGACCTTGAGCAAGCAGTTATGGTGGGGTGATGGCAGCAGGGGCCTGATTGGAAGGGTTTAAAGAGCGAAGACAAGAGAGAACAACAAGGACATCTCTTTAAGGTCGGGGAATAAAGTCCTGTTTGTTTGGTCTGCTGTTAGGAATGATCTAGCAGTGAAGTTTGATGGTACAAGAAAGAAGTGAATGAGTAGTCCTCGTGGCTGCCTCACTCATCCCCATAAGGCCTCAAGGTGTGAGTAAAGGAATTGACCTTGGGATCACGCAACCAGGGGCAAGGGCAGGGCGTGCAGATTCAGGTGAAGGTGGGAGGGTGAAGCGGGAGCCTTCGGCAGTTCTAACGGCTTCAGTTTATTCCATTATTTGAGAGCATGGTGACGAGCTAAGTGAGGGAAACGATGAATTGGGGAAATAAAGCATAATTAATGGGCAGTCCCGGGGCCACCTGAGGCTTGTGGTCATGAGCTCAAAGCACGAACAGTCATAATGTAAGTTTTCAGTCACACCTGGCAGCACAGGTGCATGGCATACACAAAGGTGCGTCTCACCCAGGCTGGGTCTGCGATCAGAAGAAAGAGAAACGTGGGGACGCAGGTTATATTGCTGAACACCAATATGCCACTTTATTATTTGGATTTTTTTTTCCCATTTGTCACATACCTGTCAATGTTTACACAATGAGGAAAATCAACCAGCAGTGGAAGCAACTGACCAAATCAGCTGATAATTCTGTACCCTCTTAACACACATCAATTCTTCCTTGGTAGGGATATCTTTACTTTCAGTCTCACAGCTATTAAAATCGGTGTCAAGATTGTCACATTTTTAAATACAGATAGAATTGCCAGAAGTACATAATTTTATATATATATGTGTATATATATATGTACACACACATACAGAAAAATACAAGACTAATTGTTTTTCCACAGTATTTAATTTACACACTACTATAACTCTATGCAACTTCTGAAGACAGGTTAAGGGGTACAAGAAACTGTTTAGAGCTAGTAAATAGTTTGGTCCAATATTGTCTTAATGTAATGGTTATTTGCTCCCTCCCTTTTATGTGACAACATACTATGACATACGACACATGCACAATCATTCACTTACGAACAAATGAGTAAGACGCCACTCAGACTAACATCTGTATACCCAGAGGGTCAACCAACCACACACAACTACTAAGGCTATAATACAGCTATGCAGCATAAACGGTCAACACTGCTGAGATCCTAAAGTGAGCACCATATATACATCTGAATATAAAAAACCATTGGAAACCAAACACATATGGGTTAGTTAAAAGGTGCCATTCCAAGGCTATACATAATCACAGGAAAAAGTATTTACATTACTTGGAAAACAGCTGCAACAAAGAGTTTATTGCCAATGCCCTTTATAAACTTCTCTCCTACGTTTTATACAGATGTTACGCTCACCATCTATGTGAACCACACATCTTATTTCTGGCCCTTTATAAGATCCCTGCTCAAAAATTTCAAGCAAATATGTTCTATGGCTTCACCCACACATCTTTTCTGGTAGCTTTCAATTATAAATATCACAATGAACTAGAGCTGTAGCTTAAAACGTATCTAGCCTAGGTCTAGAAAGTAAAATAAGTATTTTAAGTATCATCTTAGTTAAGTATATTGTGAAATTCAGAGTTTGGAGTAAAATCTATGAACCCTAAGTAGCAGAGTCAGGGTGTACTTGGAGAAACCGTGACCAATGGAATGCAGTCCTTTGGTGCCCTGCCCACTCTACAAAGTGACTGTCACTTCAGAGACGTGAAGGAAAGCTGCTGAGTGTGGGAAGGTCCCCCTGCCCCAACCCTGGCCCAGCCACATCCCATCACCAATGTGGATAAGCACTGCTTTGAAGACCCCCAGGGCACAGCCTGAAAAAGTAGCATCTGGCCCCTTCCAAAAGTAGCAATCTGCAATATACTGCGTCTTACAAGATAAAATGCCATGAAAGATGATTATCTGGTCAAAAGTAGTCTTTGTACAGGAGCAGTTTAAAGTAAGAGTTCTTTGATTATTGTTTTGGCAGGAAGGCAAAGTAAAAAACACTTCCAGCAAAAAAAAAAAAGCAAAAACCAAAACGACAACAACAAAAAAAAACAAAGCAGGCTTTGTGCATTTTTGTTTGCTGTATGTGTGAATTTTGTTCTTTTATGTTTTTGATCAGCCAATTTTCATAGCTTACTGAGCTAAAGGATATAGAATGGGGGGAAAAAAAATGAAAGAGACAACCTAATTACCAAACTCCTAAAAATCAAATCCCAGTAATTTTTTAAAAAAATTTATAGGGTTTTGACTTTGCCAACCTCTGTGTGCACCTTTGCTCCCATATCAGGCCCTACAGTTTCTTCTACCTACATGGTTTTAAAGGATACCCTAGGGTGTGCCCTGTAGGAAGGAATTTACACCGAGCATCTTTTTGTTCTGTTAGACAGACTACACACTCTATAAGTAGAGTTAAGACACCATCAGTTCACTTCATCACATTACAAAATAAGATTGTCTGTTTGTAATTTACCACTACGGGGGAAGCTGCCGTATAAATCTAAGTACTTTATCTCACCTAGTACAAAACAAGAAAATCTTTTTCCGTTAAATTTTAAGAGGCCAAACTTTTTTTTTTCACACTATAGCTTAAGACAAACAGGTGTGGGTATGCTGAAATCATGGTTTTAAGGTTCTCAGTGCAGACGCTCACTGTACTCTGCTCCGCACAGGCCTCGGGAGGCGGGGCACGCACACGCTCGCAGGCTCCAGGCCTGTCGGCATCACCACGTTATTGCTTTGGTTCTGTCTCAGACACCACGGGAGTGTGCCTCAGAGCACGGAGTTTCCGTTATCACAGAAGGTCAGGAAAGGAATTTAGATCTGTCACACGGAAACAAAAGCATTTTTTTCTCTCTAGATTAAGTGCGGAACATCAAATTTCTAAGTGCTCCATTTATATCAGGTTCCAAATATACATTTTAATTTAATCCTGATCATCCACATTAAAATTATAAATGTAAAAATTACACAACAGACTTTTCGGCTGGAAAAGAAGTGTCTAGCAGCATGCACAAAGACCATGCATTGTCACATCGTCAGGCGAACAAGTGAAAGGTAATAAATAACTGCTCCTAACACCCACTGTGAAAGAGCAAAAGCCAAACGAGAAGCGCGGAGAAGAGTGGAGAAGCGCGCCGGTGCTCAGGCTCGAGCGGGGAGGGTGCCGGCGGCCGGGGAGGGTGCCAGTCAGATGACATGGCAGCAGCTGGCCTGGCTGGAGGCGCACAGCAGCCCGTCCTTAGGGTTCCGCTGGATGTTCACAGAGATGGTCTTTTCGCACAGAGGTAGCTGCAGCACGTTATTTTTCCGGTTCTTGCTCTTTATCCGTTCTAACTCAGTGCTGCTGTCTGCCACGTGGTCGGAGAAAAACTTTATGCTGCCCACGCCCGGGGCCTGGCCCGCGCTGCCCGTGGAGCTGATGCACATCTTCCACGTGGACTTCTCCTGGACCTTGACGCTGGAGAAGGACAAGCCGCCCTGCGGGTCGAGGATGTACTTGGCGCCGCCGTGCAGCTGGGAGCCCAGGCAGAGGCTCATGAGTTTGAGGCTCTGCACCAGCTCGCCGGGCCCGGGGCCGGCGCAGCGGCGCGTGCTGCCCGACGTGCCGGTGGGCTTGCCGCCCGAGCCACCCGCGGGGCTGCCGCCACCCGTGCTGTTCTCGCTCGGGCTGGCCTTGTCCGCGCTGCCACTGCCGGCACTCGGCTTGCCCTGGCCCCCGCCGTCACCCTCGCTGCCCGGGGGCCCCTCGCTGCTATCCCGCCGGTGCCAGGAGTAGGTGAAGCCGCTGTCTTTGTCCAGCCGCCGCCGGCTCTCTGAGTCGTCGTCGCTGGTCTCCGAGCTGCTGCAGCTGGAGCCGCGGCCCTGGCTTTTCCGGCGGTGGTAGCGTTTGTGCACCGTGCCCGGGGAAGCGATGTTCATCTTGAGCCGGCTCAGCTTGGGGGGCAGGTTCTCGTCCATGTCAAACTCGTCATCCGACTCCCCTTCCTCAAAGATCTGGTTGAGCACGGGGGCGCTCTTCCTCGACGTCAGCCGGTTGGTCACCGAGGGCTTCCGGCGCAGAACCACTTGTGTCGAGAGGGACATGGGCTTCTTGTCCTCCTCATCTTCCTCTTCGTCTTCCTCCACCCGGAACAGGCACTTGCGTCCGCTGGCCGTGGCTTTCAAGCTCGCCGGGGACACGGTGGAGAGCGCTGGTCCGGCCAACTCGGGGAGGTCGTCCTTCTTAGACGAGTCACACAGGCCTTTGCTCCTGTGGCCATTGAGGACACTGTCGGCAGCCCGAGCAGGAGACTGAGGGACAGTCGTGTGGGACAGAGGAGTGGCCGTGAGATCATCCTCAAGGTCCTGGGGTACATCGATTTTGGTGGGCCACGACTGCCTGTGTAACAGATTGGAAGAAGAAAGCCATGTCATAAATAATATGCAGACTCTACTAAAACTACATCATGTACACTGACTGGGGCAAAATCCACAGACTGAAAAAAAGAAATACGCAAAAAAGAAAAGGGAAAAAAAAACCCCAAAACACAGCAGCCTCACAAACCCATTCGACATCCTATAAAGATCAGCAAGGACACCAGCAGGGCAAATGTGCTTCTGAAACATGGATCAGGCTGTGGCTTACTAGCCAAATGAGAACTTCATCAGAGCTGTCAGGAAAGGGAGCCAGGAGCTACTCCATCTTTCCCATACGAGTCTTACACCACAACAAAAAGTTTTAAAAAGCACAAGGGAGATCACCAAAGCAAAACCCAAACACAACACGTTTCGTTCCTCTGGGTCTTAGATCACAACCTTTGAAGGTATATGGTTTGCTAATAAAATTCACCTGAAAAAAAAACAAAACAAAACAACAATTCACCTGAAATTCCCAGTCTTCCAGATATGACAGGATGGTGTAAAAGTCTGGTGTTTATAAAAATAAATGGAAATAGTTCAGTGGATTAAACATGAGAATACTGCAAAGAAAAGTCAATGTACACGGGCATACGTACAACTCTTCTTCACCAATTAAAAAAACACACGACGCTAAATATAAATCCAAGTATTTTTAAATGTCCACACAAGTGTAGTAAGTGGCAAATCCACAATTATTTAAACTTCGATTTTATTCCCCCATCTAGAGTCACCCAAGCAACAAGAACACTGCTTGGCAGTCAAAGAAGGAAACTTTTTGAAAATGAGGTCTCTAGCTGTTTTGGAATTCTTAACTGTCCTCTCTGTCCAGGGGAATAGTAGATGCCAGAGATCTTTAAAATAGCCACTTCCACACTATGACACTTTCATTTTCACACCAATTCCGTTATCCTAGAAATAAAACCCAATTGAATCTAGAGCTTTAAAAAACTCACAGGAATTTACGACAGATATCTTTCCCCCAACTCAGAGCGATTTCCTCTTTGTCATGGCGTGGTCCATCTATGCTAGTCACTTCTTGGTAGTTCATAAAGGCTGAGTGCTGGATAATGTCTCTGAGGTCACTAAGTGTCTCTGGACAAGTCCTCTGTCCCCCACCAACACAAATGCACAAAGCCGGGGCGACGCCTGCGGCTCTGGAGCACGGCACCCCACCCCCGTTCCTGAAAGAGCAGCCCCCCCCGCACGCCCGCAAACACCCCGGGGGGCCCTGGGCCAGGAGGCCGGGTGCCGACTGTGTCCGACCCACCAGAGCGGCAGCCAGCGCAGTCCAGGATCAGGGGGCCCACACGTGGCAGAGGCTCTTCTCTCCTCACCTCCCACCCCACCTGAAAAGAAAGCCAAAACCGTTCTCAGAGCCCACTCCCCAAAACAGGAGGGGTGGCTGTGGCCACTGGGGTGGCTCCTCCATTGGCCACTTCTGAACGAACGGCTTTTATAGGAGTAAGTGGTTCAACCGCTCACGTTGAGCGCACACCTGAGCTCCACGTTGTGCTAACCGAAGTCAGTCCTCTTCATCGCCACAACCCTGTGAGCAGAGATGGCTAAACAAGAATTGTAAATGAGTCACGTGGACAGAACAGTTCGCACGGCCTGAGTGCTTCCCAGAGGCAGCACAGTGGGGAAAGCCGGACAGGGCTGAATGCACTTCATCCCCGCAGCTCTCCACAAGCTGGGGCCATGATCATTCCCCTTCACGGGGGAAGAAGTGACAACACGGAGAGGGTAGGAAACCTGCCCAAGGTCACGCAGGCTGGCGGACAGTGACACGGAGGCTGGGTTCCACGGCTACTGCACCCCCCGGGGCAACACAGGAAGCTTCTAAATGGCCGCTGCAGAACAGCCGGGCCTCTGCGGTCTGGCCTCAGGGATTCCCCTCACTTCCTGGGGCTCGGAGGGGATGCTGGCAACAAGCGCTCCCATGCCGGGGTCCGTTCCTCAGAGGACCTCACGAGGCCTCTTCTAACACACAGACCACGCCACGCTTCCAGCCCAGGCTTGCAGAACCCAAAGGAGGCGCTCTCGCTGCAGCTGGGGCTCCCTAGCTCACCCTGCCTGCCGTGGCCCCTGAAAGAGCTGGGCTAGTTTCAACACCTGTCTCCTGACTCAGTCGAGGGTCCTGAGCCCCAGGATCACTCTGATCTGAAGGCATGTCCAGCGACAGAACTAAGTCAGGTCTGGGGTTTTGACGATAAAGTCACAGTGCCAGTAAAAAGGCAAGGAAGCAGATGCCCCACCTGCCCTGGGCCCGGGAAGAGGTGAGGCCCTCATGGAACCTCCACTCCAGTATCTCCAGGAGGGTAAAAGGAAAACTTGAGGGAAGGCGCGGATATTTCTTTATAGGCCCTATAACTTTTATAATAAGGTACAACCAACTTATTTACATATGTGATCAACTTTAGATTGAGTTCTGATCTGTTTCACTGAAAACAGCTCAAATCCAAATATTCCATCCTCTAAGGCTAGACTGACTCCAGATTTGGTGGCCTGATGTGTGGTGACCCTGCTCTTTCCCAACGGGGGGGCCCAGGTCAGGACTAGGATGACCTCACCCCTCAAAGTCACTGTTCTGGTTGGTCTCATGCCTGAGTCCCTGGCTCCCTGGGACCCAGTCCCCTTCCACACACAGAGTAGACAGCGTGCCTAGGTTTCATTACAGAAGCCTCCATCCAGGATCTAAACGAAGTTACTAAGTCCACTTTCCAATCCTAAACTTCTAAATCTTTATTCTTTGGCCATCCAGGAACATTTTCTTCTCTCTGTTGCTGCATCCCAAGTAACAACCTACACATGGCAAGTTGACTGCACGTAATTTAAATCCAATGGCTTTCCGCTTATTTTAAATAATTATTATTACATATTCACACACACATATTTGTATATGGATATACGCATAGAGAATTATTCAGAATTGGGAGCATCCTTCTGTTTTTGAATCACTACACTTCCATGGATTCCTTTATCTGAAGAGGAAAAGATAAATTCTACATGACTTTCATAGTGGTGATGTAAAAATGTAATCCTCTCCATCCTTTGATTTTGAAGGGAAAGCATATAATATGGCAGAAGAAAAAGCAAGGTGGGGAGGAGGGGGAAAAATGGGGAAGAGCACATTCATGACTTTACCAAAGACACCAGTGGTGGTGAAATAGTCGTAACAGTGACCGCAAACAAATGGAGCCCAGCTCAGGAGGTGGATGTATTATTAATCCCATTTCACAGACCAGGAAGCTGAGTCAAAAAGAGGTGAAGTGACCTCCCAACATCAAGCAGCCAATAAATCAACTAGCTGATCTGTCAAATCACTGAAATCCTGAGATAATATCATGGCATGGAAATGCCCTAAATGTTCTTAAAAATTATTTCAAATAACAGTGGGAACATTTGGCCCTGTTCCTGGAATGAAAACTTAAAGAAAATAACACATTAATACATATAAGATCTGGAACAGTTTAATGAAAATAGTTGACAGACACTCTGCTTGAGGCTGCTTCTCCAAACGTGTTTTCCTGGCCAGGCCAGCAGCCACAGGCCCTCTCCCCTGAGCCCAGGAAGGAAGGTGTTCTTGGTGACGAAGGAACAAGACTCCCACACAGGGAGAGCCCATGCGTGGCCTCTCCAATGAGGATGCTACCACTGTTTATACTCTTGTGCCCCAAAGAGTTAGGAAGCATTTTTTTAAAGGAGTTCTCTATTTCAAAACATTAACTTACTAAAATCAGTGAAGATTTTTTTTTCTCACCTAAACTGGGCCTTGATATTGCTAGGACTTGCAGATCTGGTTTGTATTTCTTTCTCTTGCTTCTCCCTCAGGATCCTTTCAGCAAGCAAGAAGTAAGTGGCCGTGATATGATTATACCTGTTGGTTTCCAGGGCTCTGAGGAAAATAAGGGAGAATAAATGTAAGCCATGTCAGCAGGTTTGCTTTTTTACAAGCAGAATTCTTTTTTTTTTTTCCTAAAGTACAAGCAAATGAAATCCAATGTCCTGGAATCTTTAAAATCATGAAAAAAACACAAACAAGAAGAAAAACCTAGTAGTTATTTAGATCACTCATGAAATTCTAAAAAACCATATAAAAATGTTCAGTTAGTAAGAAAAATCCAAAACGCTGAGAGCAGCTGAGCTGGATGTCAGTTTTCAATGCATAAAAAAGGTGATGAAGCTTTCCAAGAATGTATGCATTATACAAAACTTTAATCTGTGTCAAAGTATTCATTTTCATTAAATTGGCTTACTTGCTTCCATCATAAGTATGAAATGAGCTGTATGAATGTGCACTGAAATACTAGTATCAATCAGAAAAATGAGGATAAGTTTTTATTTTTATACTCTTTGCATTTAATGAATTACTAATATAACTGAGAACATGTCATTAGCCTCTTCTTTGAATAAAATCAATGTATTCATTCATCCATTTCAAAAGAGGGCTCTGAGTCCTTAGTCTGAGAAGGCACCCTGCAGCCCGGGGCTGGCAGCCTCCCGCCCACGGGGCACACAGCTGCCTGCCCTCCTGCGGCTGGCCTGGCCTGCGGACTGCACAAGCGTGCTACAAGGGTCTATAGGGCTCAGAAACTTTCTGTAGTCACTGAAAATACACAACTGAACACTTAGGAAAGAAGCAATACAAAGATCCCTTTTCACAAGATGGAGAGGGGGGGTCACAGCTAATGGGGGCAGGGCAGACTGAGGCGCAAGACTCTAAAGAAAGAGCCCAAGATGAAATTCAGGGCTCAGAATGACTTCTTAGAGTGGTTTCCTAAGCCAAGTACCAAACTAAGGTCACTGGCTCATTTTGAGGGGACCAAAAAACACATGTCCTTGAGTTGAGGCATCATGCTCAGGAGGGGGAGCTGGTCACAGACAAGCCATGGTCAAGAGCTGAGACCAGCTGGGGGAGTGAGCTCAGGCCTCCCAGCCCTGCTTCACCGTGCACCTGCCCACCAGCGCAAAGGCAAATGGGGTCACCTGAGCCAGGGAGACTGCCCCTCCCTTTGGATTTATCGTTGAATTTACATGAATCCAATAGTTCTAAATGATACCACTGCATGTGTTTATTTAGGCTAAGAACATTGAGCCACTTCAGGGAGATACAAATAGCCTTCTATGCACTCAAAATGAAAAATCACTTTCTACACATTCCTAAAGCGAGTGTCCTTGGCAGGCATAGCAAGTGTCCTGCTCTTCCTATTCATTTAGGTCATTGAGTATGACAACTCATAATGCAGCTGGAAATCTGTAGAAATTTGTACTTAAACCAAAATATTGAATCTGAGTGGTTTTCTTTTTCGCCCACCCCTCACCCCCCGACCGAGCATCTCCTCTTTCCATTATACCTGACAGTTTCATTCAACAGGTTAAATAACATTTTGACTTTTCAACTGTGGAAATACTTCATAATTTTCTAGACAGGACCTCTTATAGAAATAAATCATTATTAAAACAAAGCAACTGCATCTTTGTATTATCCTTGATGTCAAACTTCTTAGATTATTAAAAACTGGCTTTGGTTTTAAATGACTTAACAACTTTGTATCTTATGCGTTGCAGGTCGCTGCAGCAAGGGCTCTGAAGGGCCAGAAAGTAAACATTTTATGCTTTGTGGGTCACGTGGTCTCTCTCACAGCTACTCTGATATTGTAGCACAATGTGGCCAATGACAATACCCAAGCCACCAGGCACGATTGTGGCCCACTAAAACTTTCCTTACAACAATGTGTGACTGGCCCCGTGTGTCAACCCCTCATTTAGAGGACTGCGGTCCGCCCCATTCTCCCCACTCACTGTGGGGAGCAGAGGGAAACATGACAATGAAGAAGATGCTGCTATGGAAAAGACATGTACTGGGATAAAAAAGAAGCTATTCCAATCCACCCCTACAGGAAGGGAGAGAGGCCACAGCATTCGGTGACACCACCCAGCAATGGTGTACTTGTTCACTAGTACAAAAATAAAAACAACAGAACAATAAAACCTATGAGACAGGCACTGGGCCAGGAACTCTAGAAATAAATGACATGACTTCTGCCAATTGGGAACTCTATGCATTACAGTGTCCACAGGCCCTGACAAGTTAAGAGAAGAGACCATTCCAAGAATCCTAAACCCGTGGCCCCATGCTGATGAGTGCTGACATACTCTACAATGGCGTCGCGGTCCGCTATGTCCCCGAGCACCATGCGCTGAATGATGCTATTGTGTTCCTCCTCCGAGAGGTTTTTGTATGACACGAGGGGGATGTTATACTTTGTAGCTGGTGAAGGGTCCACTCCCTGAAGCCAAGGATGATTTTCAATCTCTTCTAAGGAGGCCCTTCTCTTGGGATCTCTCTGTAGCATCCGTGTGATCAGGCTGGAAAGGAAGGTAAGTCCACTGTTAGAGCAAACTGTTGGCAGGGATTAGTAATGGTGGATTATTTCATTAATCAGAATTGTTTCCTACACTTATACCATCAATTTCATTAGGCTCACTAGTGGTGGTGGTGGTGCGGCAGAAGGGAATAAAGAAAATTTAGTGCCATCAGATTCATAAATAGAAAATCACAACTGCCGGATATACTGATAAGCCAAACAGCTTCCATCATCTAGAATTAGCTCTAGATATCAATATCTGTTGTTGAATTAACTGTGGCTTAGTGGCATGCCAGAACCAGCTATAGTGATCAACAACGACATACAGAATACAGTGCATGAGCCAACTTCTGCTTCAGGAAGAATAAATGATCTTGATGAAAACAATCAAAATGCCACAGGCTTTTAAACATATATTTTGTTTAAATGCATTGTGCTGGCAAAATAATAAATACATATATACATAAAGATGGAAGAAAGGAAAGAATACTCAAAGGTAAAAATAGAGTAAAAGGACTTTTAGGAGGCGAATGACAAAGCTAGACTTTGACCCGACTGCTTCTGCTTTGGTTTTGAAAGCTATACTGAGTGCACAAAATAGAATATAATGTGTAGGGCCTACTGAAGGCAGGGAGTACAACTAGAGCCCTTGTAAAGAGCTGGGGTCCCAGCTTCAGTGTAAGGGTGAATGAGAAATGAGAAACAAATCTGCTAACATATCAAGAAGGAAACCTGCCTGCCTCAACACTGGCTGTGGAGTGGGGCAGGGAAATCTCGTCTAAGAATTTCTAGCCACAGGCTGGTCCTCACACAAGTTTGTGGTCCAAATTAATGATATCTGTGTGGTACATGTAGAGAAGTTGTTAATTTAAGGTGGTTTTAATAAGCTGGAGGTGCTCCTAAGTAACTATAGTAGAGAAGGAAATGTAAAACCTTTCCATAGGAACGTAACTTAAAAGAACTCCCACATAGTATTACAAGGAATACGGCCTCAGAATCAAAAAATACAAAGGAAACAAGTACTAACAAGAACTAAAAAAACATGATGGCAACATCAAAATGCAAAGTCTTAAAATACTGAAATTTTCAGACACAGAAGATAACTGTGTTGAATATGTTCAAGACATGGAGAAGTCTGAAATACAAAAGACAGTAAAAAAAAAAAAAGCAATGGACAAATTTTTAAAATTAGATATAAAGAAAATTAATGAACTGGAAGATAGAGCCAAGGAAATAACCCTGCACCAGTGAACTAAGAGAAAATATGAAGAGATGAAAAGACAAGGAGGACAGAGTGAAAATACCTAACATATATCTAATCAGAGTTCCAGAAGGGAATGAGGGAATGGGCAAGAAACTATATTTGAAAAGATAATAGCTAAGGATTTTCCAAATTCATGGAAGAACATAAATCCTGACCCAGGAAACCTAACACATCCTAAGCAGAATGAATAGAAGCTCTTAGAGCAGCCTGAGAAGAGAGAGATCACCTGTGCAAGAACAATAATAACATGAACAGATGACATCCCAAAAGTAACAAGACATATCAGAAGATGTGGTAACATCTTCAATAACCTGAAAGAAAACAACTGTCCACACCTAGAATTCTACACTTAATGAAACTTTCAATGAAAACCTGAGAAAGTTTATCACCAACAAATGCTCATCAAAGAATTCTAAAGGGTAAATTTTAGTAGAAGAATGTGATCCCAAATGGAAGGATATACAAAGTTTTTTATCAAGCATCTGGGTAATTCTAAACAATTTTTTTACTGTACTATAATTTGTGGAGTTAGAAAATATTGACTGGTAAAGTGTTCTAAGGATTTTGTGTTGTTTAGGAAGAGATAAACGTAAGGATTACCTATCAATTTTATTAAATTAAGCATATAGGGGGCACCTGGGTGGCTTAGTTGGTTAAGCGTCTGCCTTCAGCTCAGGTCATGATCCCAGGGTGCTGGGACTGAATCCCACATAGGGGGCTCCCTGCTCAACAGGGACTCTGCTTCTCCTTCTGCCCCACCCCCCCCAAGCTCTCTCTCCCTCTCTCTCAAATAAAATCTTTAAAAAATTAAAATTAATTAATTAAGCATACAAATATGTATGTGTGTGTTAAAACAGGATAAGCACTAAAATAATTGACTATAACTTCCAAGCTAGTTAAAGGCAGAAAGCCAAGTAAGGGGAAGAAGAAAAACCGCCATCAATCCTAAAGAAGGAATAGACCAAAAAAAAAAGGAAGAAAAGTAGGAGAAATATGAAGCATATAAGAAGAGCATAAATATACCTACATCTTTCAGTGAAGACAATAAATATGAATGGGATAAACTCTGATGAAAAGACAAAAATCCTCAGAAGGGATTAAACCCCAGCTCCCAGCTGTTAAAAAAGACATACTTAAAATCAAGACAATAAAAGGTTTAAAGTAAATGAATGGAGAACTATATAGCACATAAATGCTAACCAAAAGAAGACTGGTATGGCTAGCTAAGACTAGATAACACAGACTGACTTTAAGGCAAAAAGCATCATTAGAGATAAACAAGTGATATACAAGTTCAATTCACCAGTAAGATACAACAATTTGTACCTAATTACCGTTGCCTCAAAACACTTAAAGCAAAAACTGATAGACTCCCAAGAATAAAATAAATCCACCATCATAGTGAAAGAGTATCTATCACTAAGTGATAAATCAAGTAATCAAAAAACTCAGAAAAGATGTAAGTAATTTAGAACAGCATAATTAACAAGCTTGATCTCTTAAGATTTATATATAACTCTGACCCTGAAAATGGGTAAATAACACATTCTCTTCCAGAACAAAAGAATCATTTACAAAAACTGACTCCATGCTAGGCATTAAGCAAGCCTCAACAATTTGAAAAACAACAAAAAACTAGTACTATATAGACTATATTCCTGGACCACAATGGAATTAAGTTAGAAGTAACAAAAAAGTAATTAGAAAAATTCTATACATTTGGAAATGTAAAATACCCCTCTAAAAACTTAAGGTCAAATAAAGCATTTGAAGCTAGAAAATACTCAGAACTGAATAATAACAGGTCTATAAATCAAAACTAGTAAGATACTGCAGAAATGGTACAAGGAGGCAATTTAATAGCCTTAACTACGACATTAGAAGAGGAAAATTTGTGAGCCAAGTATCCAACATAAGAAAAAAAAAAGAGAATCAGCCCATGAAGTAGGTAGAAGGAAATAATACAGATAAGAGAAAATTCACAACATAAAACAAGAAATATAAGTAAATTAATAAAAATAAAAGGCAGTTCCTTGAAAAAGACTAATAAAATTAACAAACCTCAGGCAAAACTAATCAAGACAAAAAGAAGAGAAGGCAAAAACTGTCAACAGTGGAATGATAAACGGCAACATCCCACTGATCTATATACTTTACAAACATAACCAGGAAATATAAGTACTTGAGGCCAATAAATTTGAAAATTTAGATAAAATGGGCAAGCTCCTTAAAAAACAGAAGTTAGCAAAACTGACATAGGAAAAAGTAAAAAACTCAATGGTCCTATGATTATTATAAATAATCCCTCTACAAGGGAGAAACAGAGAAGGCTCCTAAGACATCATAACTGTGCTATTTCTTACTCTGGATAACAGGTTCTACCATTCTCACATCATCAGTAGATAGAGAAGCCTGTATCTGAATCCAAAGAGTTTGAATAGGTAAGCTCTTAACCATCCACCACATGGGCCTAAGATGGGGTTCCACTTGGAGAAAAGATTTCTCAAACCATCAGATTTCCTTCTTACCAGCTGATGGGAAAAATTCAAAACTTTGTTACTACAACAAAATCCTTAAAGTAGTAGCTATAATCTCAGCTGAACTTACTTAAAAATATCACCCATTAAAAAATATATATATATATAATATATATATCACCCATAATGTCAATAAAATACTGAGCTTCTAACAGTTCTTTTATTCCATTATTATATTTCTCACTATACATATCACAGAACTATACTTTAAATTCCAAATAATCAACTTGAGTGTACTTTTGGTTGCTGGATTCCCATAATCACACAAACCAACTGGGGAGAGCAGTGTATGAATAAAATTAAGGGAAACATTATGTGAAACCTAAAATGGTGTCTTGGTGGTCTATTTCAGGAATAGAAATGCCTTAACTTTCCTCTGGAATTTAAAATAATTCCAGGTGGTCTTCCTTTTTTGCTGATGCAAAAACACCAAGGTAGTTCCCATGATAATATCTTCATTTCCAGTGAGTAACTACCACTCCTGGAGGCTGAAGAGGCATATAATGGGTTTCTTGAAAACAAGCATATTTAAGAAATAGACGAACACATTTTGTACTCCAATATTAAATTTCAAATTATATTCTGGAGTTAACCCCCCAAAACACACTTAACAAAAATAAAATATCAAGTTCAAAAATTAAAACGAACTCAGATCCTTATATATTTTTTTGATATGTTAATGGAATAAAACAAAACTTCTGGGGGGTGCATGGGTGGCTCAGTTGGTTAAGCATCCAACTCTTAATTTTGATCAGGTCATGATATCGGGGACATGAGATTGAGCCCAGAGTAGGGCTCCACACTCAGCACAGGGTCTGCTTGGGATTCTCTCTCTCTCCCTCTCTGCCCCTCCCCCTGCTTGCACTCTAGATAAATAAATAAATCTTTAAAAAAATAAATAAAAATCTGGTTTTAGTATGAGTGTTTTAAGTTTCCACATTCTTTTTCTGTTTTTACTTACTCTTTACACTCTTTGGACACATGGGATGGTACGGTATATTTGCAATCCATGATCATTGTCAATGTTTCACTGTCATTGGCCTCTTGAAAAGGTGGTTGCCCACACACCAACATGAAAAGGATCACTCCCAGACTCCATATATCTACAAATCAAAGACATACTGTTAAATATTGGATGAGTTAGAAAACCAAAAGCACTAAGAAGAGCAAAAGTAGACTAACAATGTTATTTTATTTCAATAGTGAAAACCATTTATATCTCAAAGAAAAACATCTAGGGAAGAAAACTTAAGTCCCAATGAGGCAGGGAAGGTATCTGTCTTGTTCACTGTTTTTATATTCACCTCAGCCACATAGTGAATAGTCAATAAGTGTTCAACAAAGAGATAAATTAATTCATTAATGGCAAGAATATCAAGTGGACAGTACCTCTCAAGGTTCCCAAGCCACTGGACAACAGACTGCTGTCTTTCTCATGACATTATTTACCAGAGAAAAACTAAAACTAGTATTTTAATACTCTGAGACATGGAAACGATTTTGCCTAACGTCATAATTATCTGTTTTCTTTACCTCAATCCTGGTGAGATAACCAGATGATGTAAATCATAGTCATTTTATAGTTAAGAAAATTAAAATTCAGAAAAGAGAAATATTTCTGTGCTGTCAATGAAGAAAAAGGTGATACATTATTTCAGAGGACAAAACTAGGTCTGAAGATATAAGTAACCAGGAGGCACACTTTGGCTTAAAAACAACAGAAGCTACTTAATAAAGCACTGGAAAAGACAGTAGGTTTCCCATCACTCTAAGTATTTCAGCAAAGGCTGGGCAACCATCTGTCTAATATTCTGCATAAGACATTCCTGTAGTGATTGTAAGGCTGGACTAGTTGACATCCGAGGACCCTACCAACTGTAGCATTAGACGAACTCCTACAAGAGCAAATAACCCCCTACACCTTCTTGCCATTAGATAAAATCTCACCAATCGTTTGGAAAAATGATGGCTTTTCAAATGAACAAAGGATGAATCCATTTAGGAAGGGCATCACAAATCATTCACTCATTCCAGAAACTAGAGTATAGATATGATTACATAAACATTAATAAAACAAGAAGATGAATTCAAGAAGCTTTCTACCACAAAAGGCTTAGAAGAGAATGCAAGCCATGTGGACTTTGTCACATCTGTTAATACTCAACTGCTGTTTTCATTTAGCTTAAACCCCCAAAATAATGTAGGATCCATATTATTTTCCAGCAGAATTGTAACCTGTTAATAAAATATCTTCTCCTTGGTCCAAACTAAACAAAGAGGGCAATAAAGGCAGAAACCCAAAAGTTAAAACACATTGTGATTTTTTTATATGTACAACAGATTTTACTAAGGATGCTTCAATGAAAATTAGTTAAGCAAATGGAAAAATCTACTAAAATTAAAACATTACATATGTAAGAATAAAAGGGACCTAGAGATCATTCAGTCCAAACCCTTGGCTCTTCAGCGTCCCTAAGAGATGTGCTTGGCATTGCTTGCTGGATGCATAAATTGTGTGACCTACCACCCCAGGACAGCAAGCTGGCTCAGGACTCCACTCTACTCATTGACCCCCAATTCTTTACCTTGATCTTGAAATGTAGAGGGCCATCCCCATACAAAGTCAAACAATCTGAGTAATGGTGGCTAGCTGCACCTGTTCCTTAACTATCCAGTGAGAAGAATTTATAACCCCAATACTAGTTGTAACCTATTAAGAGTTTCAAAGGAAATCTATATAGTTGTTTAACCTAAACCCTCTTTGAACAATCTGAACCTATTTTTGGTTACCTGCCCCAACTCTCAAGCCACTACTGTGAACAAGTGGCAATTACAATTATTCTCCCTTTAATATATGTGTCCCCCATTTTACAAAGCAGTTATATTCCTAGAAATTCGCTACGAAGTGAACCCATCTTTTCATCAATGTTTATTACGTAAGAAGGGAAATATACCACGGTTTTATTTTTGGTTGATTTATATTATTTTGTGTTATTTTATTTTTGGCTACCTCCTCCCCAAAGAAGGGAAGGGATTTTAAGTGGCTTGCAATAAAACACATAAACATAAAAATCAGGGGAGTTAAAACAAAAACTCACTCTCTCTTCTGTTGTTCAAATACTGACTAATGTCTAGGGCTACTACTATAACCAAGCCCAACCATTAATACATATGTATCTGAGATACAATAAATTCTTATCTTTCCATATAAATCCTACAAAACAATTTTTTTTTTTAAGATTTTATTTATTTGACAGAGAGAGAGCGAGCGAGAGCAGGAACACAAGCAGGGGGAGTGGGGAGAAGCAGGAGAAGCAGGCTTCCCGCTGAGCAGGGAACCCGATGTGGGGCTTGATCCCAGGACCCAGGGATCATGACCTGAGCCAAAGGCAGACGCTTAACGACTGAGCCACCCAGGCACCCCAACAACAATTTTTATAAAATGAATCTGGTTACATTATTTCTTCTACCATCTCATACTTTAACTGTGGATAAACATGTTTGGTTATTTAGTTTTTTACTTTTTCTCTATGCTAAATTGGAGGTGATATCTGACAGTGCAATTAGACAAAGCTGATGTTTTAAAAGTTTAACAAATAATATAAACATCAACTAATAATTATCCCAAATTCTTATCTGGGTAAGGAAAACTTTCTTTTTCTGTTAAATATCAACCTCAACAGCAATAAGGAAGTCCAATTATTTGGAAATGTTCTCTTCAGGATCATTTGCCCAAGCAGACTCACACACCACTTGTTAGGAAGTGGTGCATGATTAGAAGAGTAAAAGGAGAAAAACAACATAAATATACTGTCTCCACTGTTTCGTCAGGGCTCAAATAACTTCTGAATGTACAAGTACTTAAAATTTGAGAAATTTAGAAATATAATTCTGTGCCTGGTAGTTTACAAAGCTAAGTGACAGGATATGAAGCAGCTAAAAGAAGAGCAGCAGTGTGACTAAGGGAGTCAAGTTTCAGAAAGGGCAAATGACCCTCTCACTGAGACAATGTGATTATTCAAGGGGCTGCTTATTTTATGTACTTATTTTCCAGACTTAATTTCTCTTCTTAGTCTTGTGTCTGAGTGATTTTACTTTTCCATCCTAAGGGGCAAAGGAAAGAGAAAAAACAATCACGAAACAAACACAAAGTGATATGACTTTAACCAAGTATTTAAACATGTTCCCAATCGTTAAATGGGAATAGAGCAGTAATGCGCTTCCTCTTAATGCTGTTGTGGGCTTTAAAGATATTAAAATCAAATCCATGCTGAGTATTCGGGACAGAGCCCAGAACACAGACAGCATTCTAAGGAGGCTGCACTGTCCCGCCCTCGTTCATCTGTGCCGCGCGGGCACTGTTCCTGAGCACAGTGGACACCAAGATGAATGGGGGACATCCTTGCCCTTACAGGGCTCCCAGTTCACTGTGAGAGACAGACAGCAGGGAAGCTCAAGAAGGCACAAAGCCAACACAAGACAAGAGAAACTAGTGGAGATGGGGGGAGAGAACAGGAAAGGCCTCTTAGTGATGCAGCTACCAAAGGTGACAATTCATGATCTTGGGTCCCCAGGACAAGGTATCTGGTATTACAGGACTAACAATGGCATCAAGAAGGATTATCTATTACACTTCCCTCAAGTGAGGGAGGGAGTTCGTACTTGTTCAGCTTGGGATCCATTAAGTCTGTAACTGGGGATTAGGGGATGGACAGGGAAAAGGTGAGAGAAAGATAATGGAATAGGGACTTCACATTATTTTTATTTTAAAAAATGTTAATGGAATTGTCTATTCATATTAAAGGTATACAAGTTAACAAATATCAACCATCTGAAAAATCAAATTTAATGTTGATACTACTATCTGAAGCATATGTTTTGATTTCAGACCCAGCTATTAGGTTCTTGGTTAATAAAAAATGGAAAAAGAAAGTATCAATAAATATAGTTCCTTTGGTTAGAAAAACACTTCCAACTCATGGACCTGAGGGAAGGGGTGGAAAGATAATGAGGTCTTTGTTAGTACAAAGAATGGGAGTTACTGGCCCCCTTATGGCAGCTCTCAAGCAAGCTGGAAGTAAGAGTACAAAAATGAGCCCTGACATCTCCTTCACCTGCCAAAAGTCAGCAGGTCAACTTGTCATAATACAATTATGCCATTTCTAGGGTCAGAGGTGGGGTTTCTACTACAAAGGTCATTTTAGGCAGGCTAACAAAAGATCAAAATGAAAACAAAACAAAAGAACATGCTAATGATTAATTTGAGGAAAAGCTACTGCCAAATGGTGGGGCAGGGGGTGGGTGGAGGACGTCATGACTGCTGAGAAGTTTTCTAAAAAATCACTTACGAAGTGAATTATCTAGAGAGCCAAAGAACAAGCAGGGATTAGAAAGTAATAAAAAATGGCAAGACCAGAAGAAAAGTTTCAGGTGGAAACTTCTTTTTCTTCTGGCTTTCTTTTATCAGTGCAGCCATCAATCATAACAGAAGCAATGGAATGTTCTAAAACCACTACAGATGAAGCAGGGACCAGCACCTTTTATGACACCACTTAAAACCAGCAGGATTTATGCAATCACTTTTCAGTTCCAACTGTGGTTACCAGCAACTGATATATGACCCAAAACTATTGTAAAAGGCAATGCTTTCTTAGAATAGCAAGTATCATTACACAAGCATGTAGGTCTTAGAACTTTGTTCCTTGTATGGATATTCAGAAACCCTAAGGTCTACGGATGTGAATTGCTCCCTACACAGTAAGAACTACTCCTCTGCATTCAACATCACCTAGAGCTCTGGTCACTAAAGATTCTTGTTCCCAACACGATCAATGGTTGGTTCTGAGGGACCGGACTAGAGACCATTCTCCAAGTGGTCTTCTGAACTAACAGGGGAAGAGTGGGGCAGAAGAGGAATGAAGCATTTGGACAAGTCCATGTTTTAGGGTATCTATATTATTTCTGGTTTTACCAACACTTTAGTTAGAAGCAAAGTTTTACTATTTAACAAGTAATCGTTTCTTTTCTTAGGAAGAAAGTTAGAATGAATGCCATCACTCATACATACTTCAAAAAACTTTCCCACACCTGAATCCATCTGAAT